CCACACACTGGCCCCTTCAGAACTTCCCGCGATCCATGCTGCTTTCTTCTGCAAGGCCTTCCTACCTATTCTTTTGCCTGGAACCCTCCACCTCCATCCCCTGCATGCCTCTGCTTATGAAATACCCAGGTGTCCTTCACCTATCACACAAAAGGAAACTGTGTAACCCCAGGCCAGATGCCCAGGTATACCCTTCTACCACGCGATGTCCTTTTCCTTTATAGGAACACCCCTGTTTGTAATTGGGCACTTATTTACTGGTTCACTTAGTCTCTGTGCTCTGTAAGGGGCAGGGACTGGCTGGTTTGGCTTACTCATGTGTCTGCAGCACCTAGCAAGGGGCCAAGCACAGAGCAGATCATTAAATGCTTGTTGAATAAACCAACATGAGTTTAAGAAACGGGTCTGGGGAGGAGAGGACAAGATGATGAGCACACGTGGGCAGGGCCTTGCTCCCAGGAGACTTGGTGATGGGGCCTTTGGCAGCAGGAGCAAGCAAGCCATCAGGGCCTGGTGTAGAGCCGCATCGGTATACAGCCTGGCCTCTGGCTCCTTGGAGGAGGAGTCTGGCACAGTATAAGGAGTGAGCTCTCCGCAGGCCGACAGAAAGAGGTCTGCAAGCTAGCTGGGCTTTCTGCTTCCGTGGGGCAGTCACTTCACTCTGAGCCTCAGTTTCCTTAGCCCTGCAAGGGATCACACCAGCTTCCCAGGGCGGTGAGGATGAGGTGAGTTTATGGGTGTGACAGCAGCAAAGAGGACAGATCTGTGTCCGAATGCTGGCTCTCCCCCTCCTAGCTGTGTGACCTTGAGCACACTGCTTAACCGCATTGAGCCTGTCTCTTCACCTCTGAAAGGGGTCACCCATAGTGTGCTCACTCCCTCATTCAGTGCAGGTTTTTTGGTTGACAGGAGCTGGGGAAGCACCAGTGGACACGAGCAACACGGCCCGCAGTAAGTGCTCCACACAACGTCCACTAGCCATACGCCTGCCCCACCAAGTACAGGCACGGGGGTCCCAGCAGGCTCTATCCACAGCTGGAGGTAAGGTGGCCCTGTGCAGAGGAATTAGGACACATCGTACCACTCTGGGTTCCTCAGACTCCCTGGGCTTTGTCCAACACCATGGGCTGGGGAGAGTTGACCTTCTCGCTTCCCTATTCTGGCCATTGCATTCAGCACCACAGAGCCGTGGTAAAAAATGAGGAACAACCCCAACACCCTTCCGGAAGAAGCCTCTGATTGTCCACTGTACAACCATTAGAAGCATCCCTCTCTCTCCTCTCCCGCTGTGTGCTTGAAATCGAGCACACAAATCCCAAGTGTCCAGAGGCGAATGAACTGACCCCTAGTGGGCACTGATACAAGAAGCATCCAGATCAAGACGCGGAGCATTATTACCCCCTGGTCACCACTGCCCTGCTTTCTCTTCCTATGCCAAACATCAGTTTTGCCCCATTTTGAAGCTTTTAGTAATGGAATCACATAGTGTATCTTGCTTCTTTTAACCCAGCATGTATTTGAGAAGCTGATTTCGGCTGTTGTGGGACAGTTGGTTGTATGAAGGTACGTGATCTATTTCTCCTGTCGGTCCCGGATGTTTAGGGTGTTTCCAGTTTGGAGCGACTGTGGACAGCGCTTGGGGAACATTCTGGCGCGTGTCTTTTGGTTCACGTATGCTCAGTTTCAGCAGATCGTCCTAACAGCCGTCCCCCGTGGTTTAATAATGACATTGCCTCCAGCGGTGTACAGACGTTCTAGTTACTCCCAATGCTTGCTAGTGCTCGGTGCTTTGTCATTTTAGCTGTTCTGGAGGGTGTGTAAATATTTCTTTGTGGCTTAAGTTTGCGTTTCCCTGGTGACTAATGAAAATGAACGCTTTTTCATGTTCTGGAGTCTCTTCTGTGAAGGGCCTGTTTGAGTGTCTTGCCCATTGTGGCACTCTTGTTTCGTCATATTTTATGTATTTAAAAATAAATATGTGGTTAAAAAAAATTAATGAATTACAGACCCATTTCTTGTATCTCTGTCCAGGGATATTCTACATACAAAGAAACATATACATCTCAAAAGAAAAGAAAGGAAAAGAAACATATACATCTCCCCATTCTGCTTTCTTAACAAGAACGCACACAGTTGGACACAACAGACCTGATATGCCTTGAAGACCAGACATCTGAATTCATGAAAATCGGCCTCATTTTTTTTTCTACAATTGTACATCGCAGCATTCCCATTTGTATGTACCACCTGTCCAACAAATATATTCACAGGCCTCCAGAGTGTTGCCTGTGTTTTGCTTCTACAGCACGCTACCGTACGCATGCAAGCGCAGACAGCTTCGTGCATGTGGGTAAGCCTATCTGGAGGATAAACTCCTAAGGCTGCTGGGTCAAAAGGCACATACACTTACACATTCTGTGGTCCATACTGCTAACTCGCTCTGCAGAGAGATGAACACGTTTACAATTGCATCAGCTGAGTCTGTGTGCCAACACAGAGTGTTACCAAACTTTCAGCGTTGCCAGTCTACTCAGTGAAAAATGGTATCTCCTTTTTCTTCAAATTTGCATTCTTCCCTTTTACTCTGAATGAACCTGAGCGTCTTTTCACATGTTTGGGTCGAGTGTCTGCTTTGAAAGGGGTGCTTCCAGGGATGAGTGGTGAGCGGGAAACCAGCTCCTTGAAGGATAAACAGAACCAACCCTGGACATGGGATGTTTCCCATCCCTGCAAAGGGGATGGGAAATAGTAGGGTTTCTGCTCCCAGGACCTCAGTGAAATCAGGGAGAGGTAAAAAACCAAAAACCAAAACCAAAAAAACTCACAGTCTTAAAACAGGAACAAGCGTTAAAAATCAAATCTAATCTCATATTTTGGAGATTAAAAAAAAAAAAGTAACAAAAACAAAAGCTGAGGCTTGGAAAGGGGAAATGACTTGCAGAAGGTCTTCTGAAAAAACATACAATTCTGTTAAAGAGATGAAATTCCTTGATAACAGTAGCATTGTTTGTGTCAATCTTTGCTGTCCGTCTTAAATATTTTAATGGATGATTTTACTGTGCCATTTCCTATAGTAAGGGGAGCACTTTCAAAGTTACAGTGGATAAGCTACACCAGGATTAAGGGACACAGGCAACACAAACAAGTATGGTGACTCTAAGAAGAATCATGGGGGTAAGGATCCCTCCACTCTTCATTTTTTGGGAAAGACTTTGAAATGGGTCAAAATGATTATTGGGTGTCTTCAGTGAACAACCAGAGGTCTGGAACACCCTTTGGGGTTATCTGTTCCCTGGGGTCTTCTCTTTTCTTTAAGCTATTTATAACTTTACAGGTTGCAGTGCTTGTCCACAGATATCAGACATAAAGTCAGTTTTTTTCTGGTGAAAGTTCAGTTGATCCCCCCCACCCCACACACACACACTGGTGGAAGCCAGCTCTGCATCTATTAAGCAAATTCATTTTAGCATTCTTGACTGCCTAGATATACGTCTGCCTTTTGGATTTATCTCTGAACCAACCATACGTATCATCTTACATACTTCATTAATGGGTGAGTTACATTAAGACCTTGACATGTGTTTATGTTTGTCTCAGATAACGTTTTTGTTTTTGTTTTTGTTTTTTCAAAAGATTTTACTTATTTGACAGAGAGAGACACAAGTAGGCAGAGAAGCAGGCAGAGAGAGAGGGGGAAGCAGGCTCCCCGCTGAGCAGAGAGCCCGATGCGGGGCTCGATCCCAGGACCCTGAGATCATGACCTGAGCCGAAGGCAGAGGCTTAACCCACTGAGCCACCCAGGCGCCCAAATCTTTTATCTTTGAAAAAAGACCCATTCTGGGGCCCCTGGGTAGCTTAGTTAGTTAAGCGTCCCACTCTTAATTTCAGAGTCTCAGGTCATAATCTCAGGATTCTCTCTTTTCTTCTCCCCCCCATCCCATCAAGCTCTCTCTTTCTCTCTTTCAAAAAACAAAAACAAAAAACCCCTATTGTTTTCACAGTGCTCCTAAGAAGGCTATCTCAAATATAGGGCTACCCGAGGTCTTGGAGTCAGTCAAAGAAAACCGTCCTTTCTTTCGGCCAATGCAGAAGGAACCGATCACGGACGGAAGGCCTCGCTCACTCTCCAGCCTCGAAGAAGCAAATCCCCAAGCTAAGAGAGCGGGAGACAGGCGCCTGGGGAGGGACGACTAAATGCACACACAGCGCCGCTGTGAATAAAGAGGACCAAGATCCAGTAACAGAAGTTTAAACTTTTAAATGCACCCCATGACTTCGCACAGCTCAGCGGGAAGAAGAGCTTCTGGAAAAGCAAGGGCGGTAGACGGTGAGCCGGCGCCTTGCAGAACGTCGGGCTCCAACGGACGCCCTGGCTGTCGCCCCCGCTTCCGTCCATCTCGCAATTCCGCCGGCCCTTAGCAGTTTCGGGACAAACACTGACCGAGCACCCGCTTCCCAGCCCTGCGAAAACGGCCCCAAACACTGCAGGAGAGCCAAGGAGATAACGAGCGTGTGTCTACCTTCAGAGCACTCGGGACCCGGCATCTGGAGGGGTCGCGGGGACGCTCAGGGAGGGCAGCGGAGGCTCCGCGCTCCAGCCCGGGCGCTTCCCCTTTCCCCCACGTGCTTTCTGGCTCAGTCGCCTCCACTCCCGCTCCTCTATTTCCGCATTTTCGAAGTTGTCGCTCAGCGCCGCACCAGCCACCCCTAAATCTGGCTGAGACGGGCGGACGGCGCGGCTTGGACTGCGCGGCAGCCCGTAGCCCCCATCCTTCCTCTTCCGGACTTCGGTTTGGATGGATCCCTTTATTTTGGCGAGCGGTGCTTTCGACTAAGAGCTGCCCTGGACTGGGAGCTGTTAGTCTTCAAGACTCTCGGGTCCGCGAGGATCCCGGCTCCCAAGTCCCCACCGACAGTCTCAAGCTCCCTCTCCGCGGCGGCCCCGGCGGGCCCGGAACTGCGCAAGCGCGGCGCCGCCGGCCCCGAGCGGTTCACTTCCGGGGGTCGCGCCGCCCGGCTCTCCAGGCAGGGCTCGCTGCCCTCGTGTGTGCTCGGCGGCCGCCTCCCTCCGACCGGTCCGGCGGGACCCACCCGAACCGAGCCGCGGGGCCCGCCCCGGCCCGGCCATGAGCGCGGCCGCATGATGCGTCCTTGCCTCGGCCGCTGCAGTCGCCGCCGCCGCAGGCCGGGAGGAGCCGCAGCGCCGGGCGACCCCGCCCGGGCCTCGGGTGAGTGTGGCGGGCTGGGCCGGGCTGGGGCCGGGCAGGCTGCTCCCGCCCGCGACTCCCGGCCGCTCCGGGTCCCCGGCCGCCCCTCCCTCGGCCCCCTGCCCCTTCTCCCCCACCCGCCGCGCACCTGCGACCTTTCCGAGCTCCTCGGGGGCACCTCTGTGCCCGTGCGTGACTTCCCTTCTAGACGTCTCCCCGTCACTCCTTCGTTGATCTCTCGGGACCGGGCGCGAATTGCAGCCCTCGCTTTTTGCCTGACCTTGGGCAGGACACCCAGCTCTTGGAGCCGCGGCTTCCGCTCTGATAAACTAACCACGGGCTTGTTGTTAGGGCCGAGAGAGAGAGGGACTGTAAAACCCTACTGTGAGCTGTAAAGAGTGGTTTATAGGCATGTATTACGATGGGCTCCCCTGAACGTCGCCCGTGGCTCCTCGGATGCTCCTGGGCCTCCCTTCCTTTTAAAAAGTTTAACTGTTCTTGTATTCTTTGCCCTTCTTCGTGGTTATCTTCCCTTCCCCCATCAGTGATCTTTGGCGGCGGGGGGTGGGGTGGGGGTTGCGGGGCAGGGCATCTCGGACAGTCTGGCCAGCCTTCAGGGCAACGTCTGCGTGTCTTCTCGCTGCAGCCAAGGTCCATCTCTCCTGGGGAGTCATTGTTGCGGGAACTAAGTCCCTTTGCTGTGATGGACAAACTTTATTAGTTTATAAATAACCCGTTTATGATGGTAGTTAATGGGAGTGGAAGAGCTGTCGGGGCAGCTGCCTTGTAGCTTCTTCCGCTGACCATTTGCGCAGTGAGTCCGCTTGGTGTACGTACCTTCCGCACATGTATTTGTCTGTTGTACTCTTCCTGTCTGGGATGGTCGAGAAATCTGTGTCAGTAACTATTTCTTCCTAAACTCTTCACCTCACAGATGACAAGTTTAATCTTTTTGACCTTGTTTTACAACTTGTACTTACCCAAAGCCACCTTTAAAAAAGTTACCTTAGGGGCGCCTGGGTGGCTCAGTGGGTTAAGCCTCTGCCTTCTGCTTAGGTCATGATCTCAGGGTCCTGGGATCGAGCCCCGCATCGGGCTCTCTCTGCTCAGCAGGGAACCTGCTTCCCCCCCATCTCTGCCTGCCTCTCTGCCTACTTGTGCTCTATCAAATAAATAAATTTTTAAAAAATCTTTTTTAAAAAAAGTTACATTATTGAACTTGGTTAATGTGAAAGAATCTTGGGATATTTGAAAAAAGGGGGATGGGACAGAAGGGTTCAGTTGCATTTCTTGAACATTCTGGAAGATAAAAGGGTTTGAGTTACTGAAGTTGTTTGGGTTGTATATTTTGAGGGGTTAGGCTGGTGGGTTCACCTTCACTTTTGAGTTGAGAAAGGGAGGAGAACAAGGTCATCTGAAAGGTGATTTCCTGAAGAATTCATTAAACTGTGTGGGAACTTTTTATGCAACTGTCTCAGCTCAAAGCAAAGGGGGTAAAGTGTGTGCTGAAGCATTCCACTACGAATGGCTCAGAGCCTGCCTCCGATGACAGTGTGCAGATTGGACGCTTACAGCTGTGCTGACCAGTCCGCCGTAAAAGCAGGTACCTTCCAGAAAGGACAAGCATTAGTATGGACAGAATGGGTCACACCGTATCAGCGTTGTCAGTTAACGGCCCTCTCAGTGAGAGAGAAAATACTAAAACGAACTTAGTCTTGATTCAGTCAGAAGTATGGACTGACTTCCACGTACCTACTGAAACTGTCACCTGCAGGCTTGGGACTTTTTAGTGGTATAACTAATATAGTTTTTGGTTGTTTGAGAAATGGGACTAGAAATAAGTTTACATGTGAACTTAATGTTTGGGATGAAGTGGAAAGTAGTTTTCCTGATTTGGGAGCTGCCCTGCTCCACTCCATGTTGGGCAGCTCTACAAGACAATTTTCCTAAAGCAGCTTTTTGGAATTATGTTTCTTAAAAATAATGTCTCAATTATAAAAATAATACAGATTATTTTGTTTAAAAAAAAAAGTCCAACACTAGAGCAGAGCATGAAGTCTAAATACTCATTGAATTTGAATTTCCTTTTGGCCCTAAAGCGAGTGTCCAGCGTCCGTATTGACCTCTCGCTTTGTGACCCTTCGGCTTAGCATCTGAGATGTGCTCAGGCCGACTGTGAGAGGCAACTGCAGAGTTTAGAGGGAGACAGTCATGCAAGACCACCCTCACTTCTGACATCAGTGGCAAGTTTCGGGGTTCTCAAAACCACTCTCAGGCTGGACGATCATTTAGAAGGACTCACAGAACTTACTGAAAGCCGTTATGCTCATGGTTGTGGTTTATTACAGGTAAAGGATAAAGATTAAAATCAGCCAAGGGGAGAGGCTTCTCGCACAGAGTCTGAGGAGGGGGCAGGGGTGAAGCTCCTGTCTCCTCTCTCTGTGGATTCCGATGTGTTACATTCCTAGCATCGATAGGAGACAGTGTGCACGGGGTACTGCCAACCCGGGAAACTCATGTGCACCTCGGTGTTCACAGAGTCTTTATGGGGGTTCTATTTTGTAAGTGTAACAGATTCGTTAATTGACCATGCGGATACTGTGTGACCCAAAGGCCCCCGGAGTCACAGTATGGGTCTTTCTGGTATGGCCAGCTCCCACCCCGAGTCGGATTGTCAGCCAAGACCAAAGGCCAAACCTCCTTTTGGGCAAGGTTATATTTTTTGATTGCACAGCAACATCCTTCCTTCTTTCATGGTCCTTTTCTACTTAGAAACACACCCTTTTGTTTTACCACTGACAGATGACTACCTTCTAGAACACGGAGGAAACAGAGGCTACTGGAAGAGTTCTCCCAACCTTGAGTCTTTTCTACCTAAAAATCTCTCAGTGTCCATCAATCTTTTTCTTTCCTCTGCCTCTGAGGAAGAGAGAGTCCCATCTTCCAGTGAACTCTGCGTCTGTTCTTTGCCCTGCCTGTCACGGGACAGGCCATTAGGCATTTCCTCTCACTTTTGCCTCTTTGATTTCTTCCCACTCACTGACTTCATTGCCTCTCTCTGCAAACACGTTGTCTTGCTGTTTTAGCCCTGCTTACCGCTGAGTTTTACTCCATTCCGGTGGAGCCTTCTTAGAACCCTGTTGTCTCATTAAACCCAGACTCTGTGTGGGCCCAAGATGGTGCCTTCCCTTGGTACAGCATCTGTTTTGAAAACACTTAAGTCATCCTGGGATGCCTTCTTCCTCGAGGGGGCTTGGGAGGTGCTTGATTAACGACTCAGCTGGCCGGGCAGAGAGTGAGTGTCCTCTCGCTGGAGGAGAGAGCAGGAGCAGAAGCACGGAGGGGTGAAAGGGCGTGGAGAGGGGACCAGCATGAGCGCCCCGTGGAACAGAGTACGCGCACTGAGCCCGAAAAGGTAGGGGAGCCGGATTCACTGGAACCTTGAGTGCCACGGGCAGGGCTCACAGGTTTTGGACCACATTGCCTCTGTGACCCGCACTGTCTTTTTGGCCGTAACTCCTGCGGCTACCCAGAGGGTGGTGGTTGGACATGGTGACCTTGAGATAGGATTCTGCAGAGACACCCGCCAGAGTTGAGGGTGCCTGAACTTGGTTGTGGGAAAGGTCAGAGGGGAGGGGGCAGAGCCCTAAGCAGGGAGTGTCGTCACGCAGGTAGGAAGGTGAGGGTAGAGGGTAAGAGGAACTAAATGAATACTGGTTGCATGAGGGGTGTTCTTAGGACGTGGGAGGAGAGGCCTGTGTTGCTGGTGCTTTGGAAAGGGTGCGGTCCTAGGCTCTGCGTTCCGGGAGGGGTGCTCTTCCCTTGCGGCACCCTGTAAGCGAGAAACAGTCGGGATGGAGAAGCTTCCGGTGTCTCTCGAGACAGGCTTCTACAGTATCATTTCTTCGTTGAAATGTTTTGGATTCTCAGAGTCCCACAGTCCCTAATTCACTTTATTCATTACAGAAAGCATTTTCTAAAAGCAGCTACTCTGCGAGGCAGTGTATTTTAATGGAAGAAAGTGGGCTTTGGCCTCAGGACAGTCCTGCGTCCACCCTTTCCTGGCTGTGAGCTTGGGCAAGTTACTGCCATCTTAAGGCTTCACGGGCTCATGGCTCAAATGAGCCGATACTAGCGCCTTGCTTTTAGGGTAGCAGCGGGTTCTGGTGCACTGATGTGTGTGAAGCCCCGCGCCGGGAGACGGGTAGTCGGAGCTGGCCTTTCCTTTCCCTTTCCGGTCTCTGGGCTGTCACTGATTTGCCGCCGGCAGCTAGCTCAGGAGTGGTGCGGCCCATGTTCGTAGCACTTCGGGTTCGGTGGAGTCTCATGTTAAAAAACTTCATTTCATTTTAAACAAGGAAACCCTATTTAGGAACATCTGGAAAGAGGCTGGGATTTACGAGCCTGATTGAGGTTCCGCTAGTCCCTGGGACAGGACTCGTAGAGAGTTTGGAACTCTGGTGTTCTTTTTATTTCTGGATTTAGAATTCCTCGGGGCTCATTGACCTTCTTGGGATTTTGAAAAGAGCTGCTCCATTTGACTTTGAGAATCCGGCTGTGGCTGCGGTACGGGGGTAACAGTGAGACCTCTGGTGTGTGGGTGAGCGTGCCCGTGAGACCGCCTCGTCGAGCCAACACACTCGGGTGATGCCCCAGAAAGGGCGGCTCCCCCGGAAAACCCCTGCAAGTGGGTTTCTCTCTTCCTCCCTATCTCCCTCTCTCTCGTTAACCTTCCACATTTCTCCCTGGCTGCTTTTCCCCAAGGCTCCCAGACTCCTGACCTCACCCCCCAGGCCAGATCTCACTTGATCGCCTCTCTGTTTTGTTCCTGTGGGCTTCCTCTGGCGCGCTCCCCGGTTCTCTCACTCGTTCATTCCACAGATGGGTGCGGAATGTGGAGCGTCCTGGGTGTGGGCTGGGACATGGCGGGAACGTGGTGTGATGGTGATGAGAGAGGCTCGAGACGGCCAGCCAGGTGGGGAGGGTAAGAAGTGAGGTCAGCATGCCTTGGGGTGGGGGCG